CTGGGAATAAGGAAATGGACTTTAATGGTACCAAATGAAGACACATTACATAAAATTCATAAACATTTTTTACAAAATTGTTTAAAACAATCACATTAAAAGGTAATGACCAAAGAACAGACTCTACTTCAACATATTTAGTTACATTTTCCAACATAAAACAATATCGATATTCAATACATACCAGTAACTTAATAGTGCGCATGTAATTAGGTCAACGCGTTTTGCAGAAATGCTTTCTCAGGAAGAGTAACCTAACTTAAGAAAAATATGTCAAAATCAAGGAAATCACCTTATTAGGCTGAACACGATTGCAAATATATATGTAGACATACAGTTGTGCTCAAAAGTTTGCATACCCTGACAGAAATTGTGACATTTTGGCATTGATATTGCAAATATGACTGATCATGCCAAAAAATGCTCTTTTATTGAAGGATGATGATCATATGAAGCCATTTATTATCAAATAGTTGTTTGGCTCCTTTTTAAATCATAATGATAAACAGAAATCACCCAAATGGCCAAAAAATCTTCATCACCCCCCACAAGTAGTACAGTGTCACCATGGTGGCACTGTACTACTAGGGTGACAGTATATTAAAAAAATAATTAATAAATAATAATAATAATAATTAAAAAATAAAAAATCTAAAAAAAAAAAAAATTAAATTAGAATTTTTGGGTATAAATTAATTGGGTTATTTTTTTTTTTCTACTAAAAAGATAGCTGAATACATTTTGGCCAAGATTTATGAAGAAAGATTATTTATTTTCAAAATTTTATAAGAAAAAACACTTTTTTCCAAAATGTTTGGACTTTCATTTATAGCGCAAAAAAAAAAAAATCCCAGTGGTGAATAAATACCACCAAAATAAAAATAACGCTAAAAAATTCATATGGGTACAGTGTTGCATGACCACGCAATTGTCATTCAAAGTGTGATAGCACTGAAAGCTGAAAATTGGCCTGGACAGGAAGGGGGTGAAAGTGTCCGGACTTGAAGTGGTTAAGGGAATGCTTCTGAGCTTTAAAAAAAAATCCACATATTTGTGAACTATAAAAAAATATATATTGTACAAAATTTCTATGTAATAAACCTACTTAAATTCTGGCCATAGCTGATTTTCTTTTGGTTATATTAACATTGTACCTGTATATGCTGATATTAACCCCTTGATGCCGACGGCACATAAATATGCGGCCTCATGGAACTGGGTTTTTTTCCGTGGGGCCGCATATTTGCATACCTGTCTTTGTGCTGGGAGTGCTCCGAGACTGCGGTGTCACTGAGAGCCCCGGGACCCGTTCTAACAATTGGGACCCAGGACTCCCAATTCCAGGTCACATGATCGCTGTGATAGCCTCTGATTGGCTATCACTGTGATCAGCCACTGTGCAGCCTAGCCCCCTTGTTTTTTCTCTTTCTATGAATGGAGAAGAGAGATACACTGTATCTCTCTAACTCCTGGCATAGGGAGAAAAAAATGTTAAAAAAAAAAAAAAAAATGATGATAAATAAATATTAAAAAAAATAAAAGAAAAATAAAGAAAAATACCTAGATCAAGGTTTGATCTAGTTCGGTGCCAGGGTTAGTGTTTGGGTCAAGGTCAGGGTGAAAGGTCAAGGTCAAAGGTCAGGATTTAAAAACATTGGTATCAGTGTCAGTTAGTGTTAATGTCAGTGTCAGTGTGTTTTAGGTAAAAAAAAAGACAAAATAAAAAATCTGCACTATTGTTTCTGGGCTGTACTACGGGTACAAACAACAAATAACATACACATATATGGTATCGCTGCAGTCGTCAAGAACTGGAGAATTTATTTTGGGTTGTTCTTTGTTTCTTGTTACGACCATAACCTACAACCACACAGCTAAATAAAAAAAAATGATATGAAATCCTTTGATAATAAAAAAAAATTAGGAGCTATCCATTACCATTTACCACCAAATGAAAGCCCAATTTGTCCTGAAAAAATCAAGGTATAATCCACCTGGATGTACAAAGTAGTTGTGATGATATGTACGGTTTTACTAACACATGTCAATTGTGCTTAGGCATTTAGATTTGTTTTACCCTTAGGCATGAAGGGGTTAAGGTATAAAGCTTGCAGGAAAGCATTCAATCAGGGTCAGTAATGGGGAGTACCTCCCCATTAGGTCTCAGACCATCTGTAATTCCAGCCAGACAAAATCAGCTATTAAAACTATTGAATCCACACCATTGATGTCACTTCTATCACATAGCCGATATGCTCACTTTAAAAGACACAGCGCTACCACATGGACTGCCGCTGCTACATAAATCCCACCAGGCTGCTGTATTTATATCCATTCCTATCATGAATGGCGCCAAATGCAATGAAAGACCCTGTGACTCCTGGCGCGGTGCCGGCATATGACATCATTAAGCTACATCTATACAAAGAGATTAAGAGATGCCCTTAGATGTCCAGGGGCAGCGCGCACGGTACACTGATTGGACCAGCATGTGTCTATCCCAGGGGCGGACTGACCATTTGGAAACTCGGGCATGGCCCGGGGTCAGTAGGGGGCCCCATGAGATGCCCCTGGTACCTTTTTATAGGCTTTTTTGAGTTTGGCCAAGGACACAGGGTCCCCATGATCCCCTATTGCCCGGTGGCCCCATGAGTTGTCAGTCCACCCCTGGTCTACCCTTCGCCGACAGGTGTGGATAACCTACTGAGCCCCCTGCTTTCCCATTAACAAGGAATTTCTAGTAAGTACGGGTCATAAGCTTGCATTGATTAAGTCCTTGCCCTTTGTACACACTTCCTGTCACTACTTCCCTCGAGAAGAAGTCGGAAGTGACGAAACGAGACAATCACGTGACGTCAGGCGCAAAACCGGAAGGAGCAGCGCGGCCATCTTGGATGTGGTTTTTGCATTAGGATGGATGGTCCACCCTGTCTATATGTAAGCAGATATTAAATTTGGAATTTTCAGTTCTTTACTCCACTGAGTCTTCTCTTCTCTATGCTTATGCCCTGTGAGGAAGTGGGAAGGATTCCACTGCACATTCCTGTTAGAGGAAAGCCATCTAGTATTTGGGACTGTTTGAAAACGCCTGTGCAAGTTGCAAGAGGGTAATGGTATATTATCCTAGCAGAGTGGTGGCACCAATTTGGACTAGTGCACCTATCACTAGTTATTTGTTTGAATTTGTTGTGATTTCACCTGTTGAATTAATTCACTATATCACAAGTTGCGGGTGCTCACCTCACATGTACTGTTCACAATATTGTAAAAAATTGGGGATATATTTATAATTTATAATTTTTGCTTACCTTTTGTATTTTATTCATTTATATCAATTTTTTTTTTCTTTTCTTTTGTCACGAGTGGTTGTGCATGATATCACTGATTATTTATTATTATCTTATTTGAAAGATAATGCACTATATTGAGTTTATATTTTTTTTAGGTATTTTGGATTGAAGTGGCGAATTGGATACTTAACACATCTGGAAGATTGAACAATGTGGACATTATTTTGAGGACTTTGTATTGTGGATATTTTTCTGTTCAAATTTAATTTGGATATTTGGGGTAAAGAATTTAAGTTTTGGGAAAAGATTGTGGAAAAGGTTTATAATATTTGCACTTTCAAGGGTGAAAATTTTACTTTTTCTTTGGGGATATATAGAGTTTTTGGTTTAACTACTACTATCGATTGGATGGTTTAGTGAGATCCTCGGATCAGCCCCACCAAGATTGGCGATGGCCCTGGTGGAGTGTTAAGAAGATGATCAAGCTTAACTATTTATAGGAATTAAAAGTGGTCACAAGGTTTCCATAGGCAAACCTGGGGTGGGATCATTGACATGAAGGAGCGGGCCCCCCCGCGAGAGAGGACCCTGATCTGGAAAAAAAAAAAATGAAAGCCAAACTAAACACAACCTTTAGGTGAGCAGCAGTGTGGTGGATATCTACAACATGTCTGCCTATTTCCGTCCCGCACTTCAGCTGGACTGCGTTTTACCGTACAGGTAGTCTGAATCGCCCCGTACCCATCATCATTTAGGAAAGATGCTTGTTGTAGATAAGTTAAATTTACTCTTGTTACAGGAACATTTTTTGTGCTACTGCTCTGTCGGAAGTTGTGTGGCTTTGCGGTTGTGGAACATTTCCACTTTCTTAGAACTGGGAAGGAAAGTTAAGTTAGAGTTTAATTCACAGAGAAGGTTCACAGATGGTAAAATATTATCTGTTTTATCAGCATAAGTAGCAGTGTATGATGTAATAATAGATCCTGTGAGATATGTGTTGTAACTGTGACACTTTATAGACCCATGGTAAAACCTGGCCCTAAAACCAGTTGAAATACATTATTATTATTATTATTATATATAGTATTTATATAGTGCCAAAGGGTATGCTCAGCGCTGTACATTACAAAGGGGGACATGAGACAAGACAGTAACAATACACTACTAATGAATCAAAAAAGGTAAATATATTTTTGAAGAAGAGCAGCTCAGCGCTGTACATTACAAAGGGGGACATAACATGAGACAAGACAGTAACAATACACTACTAATGAATCAAAAAAGGTAAATATATTTTTTGAAGAAGAGCAGCCACCAAAATCAATGATGAAACCCTTCGTATGCAGCTTTAAACCCCAGTTGAATTGTTTGTATTTGGTAATGTAAAGCAGCTAGACTGCATATTCAGTATATAAATACACTGCTCTTTTGGTTTTTAGCTTTTACTCCTACATGCTGTAGCAAGGGTTAAAATACCATGTGCTGGCAGCACTTTAGTGAGTTGGACCTCCAATGGCACCTCATGCATCCCACTGCACACTGCTCCAATAAATAGAGCTCTAGAACCCTGGGCAGTTCTCTTGATTGGAGAAGTGTGCATAGAGAGGTACACTATATTGCCAAATGTATTGGGACACCCCTCCAAATCCTTGGATTCAGGTGTTCCAGCCACCTCCATGGCCACAGGTGTATTAAATCAAGCACCTAGGCATGCAGACTGCTTCTACAAACATTTGTGAAAGAATGGGTCACTCTCGGGAGCTCAGTGAATCCAAGTGTGGTACCGTGATAGGTTGGCCACCTGTGCAATAAGTACATCCGTGACATTTCCTGGCTACTAAATATTCCACGGTCAGCTGTTAGTGGGATTATAACAAAGTGGAAGCAACTGGGAACAACAGCAACTCAGCCTCCAAGTGGTAGGCCACGTAAAATGACAGAGTGGGGTCAGCGCATACTGAAGTGCACAGTGCACAAAAGTCGCCAACTGTCTGCAGAGTCAATAGCTAAAGACCTCCAAATTTCCTGTGGCCTTCAGATTAGCACAACAGTGTAGAGAGATGTTCATGGAATGGGTTTCCATGGCCGAGCAGCTGCATCCAAGACTTACATCACCAAGTGCAATGCAAAGTATCAGACACAGTGGTGTAAAGCACGCCGCCAATGGACTCTAGAGCAGTGGAAATATGTTCCCTGGAGTGACAAATCATGCTTCTTTGTCTGGCAATCCGATGGACATGTATGGGTTTGGTGGTTGCCAGGAGAACGGTGCTTGCCTGACTGCATTGTGCCAAGTGTAAAATTTTGTGGAGGGGGGATGATGGTGTGGGGTTGTTTTGCAGGGGTTGGGCTTGGCCCCTTAGTTCCAGTGAAGGGAACTCTAAAGGCGCCATCATGCCAAGACATTTTGGACAATTTCATGCTTTGTGGGAAGAGTTTGTGGATGGCCCCTTCCTTTTCCAACATGACTGCACACCAGTGCACAAAGCAAGGTCCAAAAAGACATGGACACACTCCTAAACCTTGTGGACGGTCTTCCCAGAAGAGTTGAAGCTGTTATAGCTGCAAAGGGTGGGTCAACACAATATTGTACCCTACAGACTGACACTGAGATGTCAATTAAAATTCATGTGCATGTAAAGGCAGGTGTCCCAATACTCTTGGCAATATAGTGTATGTTGGACAGCCAGAGACCTAAGCCACTGCTTATATGTTCAGAAGTCTGGCTCACCAAGGTGCTGCCAGCACAGGGAAATTTGCTCTTTACTGCAGCACTTAAGGACTAGAGGAAAAAATTAGGACAGCAGCCTATATATTACTCTATATGCAGCCTGACAGCTTTAACATGTAACTGCACTAAAGGAGTACTCTGGAGCTTGTACTCCTGAATAACTCTCTATTGCAATCTTTCTCTAGAGGAAACGTTGAAATCATTTTCAGATGCTGAGGAACTCATGCTAAAATCAATTTGGTAGAGGTCAGTGGAAAAAAAAAAGCCCCCCCAATACAGACAAATGGCCCTGGAACTCTGCAGGCATCATGAAATGGAAGGTCAATCAGCCACAGCTCATGGAGCCCCCAGCAACCTCTGGAGAAGCCCTAGGAGTCCACAGAACCCTGGCAGAGAATGACTGCTCTATAGAAAAGAAGGAGAGTGCAGGGGGACATGCGCAAGCTTGGCCAGGAGGCAGTCAATGTGCAGCCTCATCTGCAATATTTCAGTGGCTACGGGACAGGTGCGTATAAGAATGACTTGGGAAGACTGCGGGTGAGGGTAGGGGGCTACTACAATATGGGCATGTAGCCACCCTGCCATAAGCAGATGTGTCTATTTAAATTTATAAGTGCTAAACTGCAGTCAGTTTAGCTGATTTTGATAGTTCGTCTTTTTTAGGTTTTTCTAGGCTCTGCTTACTGTTGTTTTTTTGTCTGCTGCCAGTGGGTGTTACTAGTACCTCTGGCAATCTTATGGGAGGCTGGAATATTTATCTCTCCCTAATCAACCACTAGGAGGTTTATTATCAGTGGTGCATGCTGGGAGAGGGTATAAAATATTCAGGAAGTGACTTTTGGAAGGCAGTCCTACCCTGAGCCTCTTGCCTAGGGGTGGAATGTGTTTCACTGTTGTTGATGTGTTTCACTGACATTGACCAAGTGGCTGGGCAAAGGCCTAGGTTGGAGGTCTAGCTTGTGTAACCCGGAGATTGAGCTACTCCAGCCCCTTATTAAATCTGGAGTTCCTCCAGAAATTGTAACATTCTTGCAACATTTTGGTATTGCTCTATCTTACTACTTCTCTGGTCCTAAAGGTGGACTAGGCCTTTAAAGGAAATAATATAAAGACAGACTTGAGGAATTCTACTAGCCATATTTACAAAAAAAGTTAATTTAAGGATATGAATGACTGCATATCCAGATTAAAGCGGAGTTCCAGCTGAGAAAAAAAAGTCAGCAGCTACAAAAACCATAGCTACTGACTTTTAAAATACAACCACTTACCTGTCCCTCGGTCCAGTGGTGTCCTCACCACCACTGGTTTCACCGGCCATCTTCTCTCCTTGGCTCTAGCATCTTCACTGTGGGCACTCGGCTGTGACAGCTTGCGGCTTTACAGCCAGGTGCCCACTGTGCATGAGTGAGAAGATGTCACGTACCTGTTGGGAGACTGAAATGACGAGGTCGGCCTCACTTGTGTCACTAGCCCTGACCCCGCTGGAGTTGGAACAGAGGGAGTCTAGGACCCAGGGGAACAAGAGTGCCAGTAGTTGCTGTTTGCAGCTCTTGCAGATGAAGACCTTGGAAGGCTGATGATCTTCTGATTTTGGCACAGTAGTAGTAGGCAGAGCAGGTTTTGCAGATTGCCAGGTGTGCACCAGAGCAAGGCAGGTAGTGAGGAAAAGAGACAGGAGCAGTGTCATGGAATAGCCAGGGTCATCAACAGTTGGGCAGCACGGTACAGAATCAGAAGGAAAAGCCAAGGTAAGGAGCAGAGCCGAAGTCAGGAACCAGTATCAGGAGAGCATGTGCTCCATGACTAGAGGCATTTAACCTCTTTACGTCAGTGCCTCCCGGCCCTTTAAGGGGTTTCAGACGCCGGGAGGCGGGGCGGGGTTTTAGGGTCATGTGGCCGCCGTGATTCGCTGTCACATGATCGGAAAAGGTCCCAATCGCAAGGCAAGATTGGGACCTTTCCGTGAGTCACGGACACGTTCTGGGAGCGCATAGGGCGCGCGCTCTCAGCACATATGTATTTTCAAATGTGCAGCCGCTTGGCGTCAAGGCCCAGACGCCGATAAGCCGAATATTTGCGTGCCCTCAGCATCTAGGGGTTAATGGGGATTCGGGGACAAAGCATTACAGCGGAACGTCCCCTTTTGGGAGGAACTCTGCTTTAACCTATGATTTTTCAGCTGCCTGAACTTCAGATTTATTATACTAAGTTGTAAACACTTGTAGAAATCATTGCTGTGGAAGTCAACACCCAGAGGAAGGAAACCATAAACGCAACTGTCTGTATCAGGTGTGTCATCTCTTTGTACTGCATTGATGTGCTACTTTCTTTCAACAACAGACTAAAAAGAAGAACTGTAGACCACAAACAGGAGGCTACTCATGTTATGTTGCTTATATTTGTACAAAACAACAAACACAGGAATAAAACATGCCAACCTAAAACTCAAGTCTCAGTCGACAAACCACATGTGCATTTCGTTTCAGAGACTAGTTGGCAATCAGTTCAATAGTTTTTTGTAAAAATCTGTTGACTCTATGCTGATACCAATCATGTTGGCCTAGCCTCTAATGCCCGTACCATGGAGTTACAAATAAATATATACCATGCTTACTGCACTGCACTCTGCACACTTGAGATGCACAAACTCACATTGCGCTTAGAAGCAGTCGGCTTTCACAAAATGTATATGAAGGTAATTTTGCACACCAGTTACAACAAAAGCAAAAGAAGTGAATGAGTGTTCATCCCAAAAATCAGTATGTGTGTCGCTGGGTTGATGCATCTATACTATCAATATAATAATATGAACTCTCAATATTAATAAAATCATAATGTAATCAAAATGTGTGCATTATGAACCGCAATGCAAATATATGAATAGTGTTAGTCTATAAGTAAGGCCACAATATAAAAACAAAAAAAGGTCCATGCATAAGTCCACACTCAATAATGGATCCAGTGCAGAAGTGTGTGACAGCAGAAAAACCTCCATCTTGATTCCCCTTTGGGTAAACTCTCACTCTATGGATCTGACCCTCTTAACCACTTGACCTCCAGAGGATTTACCCCCCTTAATGACCAGGCCTCTTTTTGCTACTTGGCGCTGCACTAATTCAACTAATAATTGCGCGGTCATGCAATGCTGCACCCAAACGAAATTTACGTCCTTTTTTTCACACAAATAGAGCTTTCTTTCGGTGGTATTTGATCACCTGTGCGCTTTTTATTTTTCATGCTCTAAACAAAAAAAATCCAAAAATTTGGAAGAAAAACAATATTTTTTACTTTCAGCTATAAAAAATATATAGTAAAGTCAAAGTTGGTTATAAATTTAGTCCAAAATGTATTCTGCTACATGTTTTTGGCAATAAAATCCCAATAAGTGTATATTGATTGCTTTGTGTGGAAGTTATAGCGTCTACAAACTATGGTATAAATACTGCAATTTACGCCATTTTTCTGCTATACAGCGCTACGCTGGTTTAATGGACAATTGCGCGGTCATGCAATACGGTACATAAATGAAATTTACATCCTTTTTTTCCCCCACAAATTGAGCTTTCTTTTGGTGGTATTTGATTGCCTGTGCAGTTTTTATTTTTTGCGCTATAAAAAAAAGGCTGACAATTTTGAGGAAAAAAAAACAATATTTTGGACTTTTTGCTATAAAACATGTCCAGTAAAAAAAAATGCAAAAATCAAATTTAGTCATAAATTTCTGCCAAAATGCATTCTGCGACATGTCTTTGCTAAAAAAAAACCCAATACATGTAAATTAATTGGTTTACGGGAAAGTTATAGCGTTTACAAATGGCGGGAAAGATACTGGGATTTTTTAGGGGTTTTTTTATACTAATAATGGCGGCGATCAGTGAATTATGGCGGCGATCAGTGACTTATGGCGGCGACCAGCGACATTCTGACATTGGGGGGGTACTGACTTGGGGTCACTGACATCCCCAAAAACACTAATACAGTGATCAGTGCAAAAAAAAAACCACTGACACAGTACTAATGGCAATGGGGAGGAAGGGGTTAACTTTATTTTGCAGGGAAGGGTTATCTGAGTGAGGGGAGTGTTTTACTAGGGGGGGGGGTGTCCAGAGTCCAAATATAGAGGTTTTTTTTTTTTTGTTGTTTTTTTTTGTTTTTAAATAGAACAGTTTGATATGTTCCATACATGTAGCCAGCACATTTTGGGGACCTGTGATCACTAAGGCTAAGACCAGTAAAATAATACATGCACAATTAAGCCAATAAATGGTGAAAAGTTAAAAGACAAAACAGGATATAAAATATCTGCAGCTTTATAAAATAATATTCTACAATTTATATGTACTGTATATACACACATGACCAAAGGAAGACATATATACTTAATATAAAAATGAATGATAAATGTCAGTTTAAAGTTTGACCACAGCCGTGTACATAAGCAAG